AGCTTTTGGAATAATCCACCAATTTTGTAAAATTAAACACTATCTAAAGATTTGCATCGAAGCGTTTTATTTTGATAGTGATTTTAATCACTGTCAGATATCATTATACTTGATCCATCTATACCACGTCACCACTGTGTCGCGACCCTCCTGTGCTGGGTTTTTTTTTATACTTAAGATAAGTGTTAATATAATGTGCTTTATTATTAAAATTGAAATAAAAAAGATTTCAAAAAATTATTGAAAGATTTCTTCTTGTAAAGAACGATTTAAAAAGTGACTATTAATCGAGGTATGATTGAGTCGTGTGTATTATAATACATAAACAGTATGCCTTTGATGAATATTTCTCTAAGTTGTTTATTTTAATTTTTTGTTTGAAAAGAATTATGTTCTACGAATATAGATATAATGTATAATAATTGTGCATTATTTCTAATTATTAGAAGTGTTAATTATATTACACGTAAAGTGAAATAATGATGTGTAACTAAAGATAGTAATAAAAAAAATGTATAAATTATTATTATTCTGTAAGTAATTGAGTGGGTTATGATAAAAAAATCACTCTGTATATATTTTTATGCATATATTACATTTATAAATCATAAAACTTGTAATTAGGGAAATAAGAGTTCATTTTACCTTTTTAATAATCTCTCCATTTTATTTAATTAAAAATTATCTATAGATTCACTTGAAGAGTATCTTATAATGATGGTTCTAATCAATGTCAAATATTATCTATACTTGTGCCACCGTTTTTTTTTAAACAATCGCATTGAAACATTTTATGCTAGTATTGTTATTTAATGTATAATTTCACTATATTGGGTTTTTTTCTGTCGCATCATCATTATGATGGATCGCGACTGTACTGGATTTTTTTTATTATTATTTGATTTATACATTTTAGTTATATATTTTGTGCTTAATTTAAATAGCTATGACCATATAGAATTTTTTGTCTATTAGGTTGCTATTTAACCATTTTTAGCCTTTTACATTTAACTATGGGACAACTTGAATAACTATAATGAAATTCTGTTAAAAGGTAATTGCTTAATATTACACAATTTGGCCACTACTAAATAGAAAAATTTAACATTCAGTATATTTGATCTGTTGTATTTTGTATAAATATTGACCTTATGTGAATTCACCTATTATGTTTTTTTAAAGAAATATAGTACTCATATTTACTGCTTGTTTCTTAAATAACTTATGTTTTTTTTTATACTATACAGATGATTCATTAACTAAGCCACAAACGATTTTTTCAAAGTTATAACATAAGATATAATATTTTTCTAAAGTTATTAGTATCCTACTCAATTAAACTAATTAAAAAATAATAATTTTATTCCCCATTGTTTTTCTTTGATATTCCATCATTAAAATTACTTTTTACCTTTAATTAAATACGAAATAAAATAAGTCCGTGGCAACACTGCGCAGTCACCTTGTATTAAGTATTATAACATTTTTTTTAAATTTATCTAGATTTTTGATACATGACCACAATGCAGTTATTGATATACTAACTTTGCGAAAACAAACGCCTTTGCATTTAGCAGCATCAGCAGGTCAATTGGAAGTATGTAAATTATTATTAGATTTAGGAGCAAACATTGATGCTACCGATGATCAAGGTCAGAAACCAATACATATTGCGTCACAAAATAACTTTCCCGAAGTTGTTCAATTATTCTTACAGCAGCATCCACAATTAGTCTTGGCTTGTACTAAAGTATAGAAGAATTAAAAAAAAAATCTCTAAACTATAAAATAATAAAAAAAATACTATCTCTAGGATGGAAATACGTGTGCTCATATAGCTGCAATGCAAGGATCAGTAAGAGTTATTGTGGAATTAATGAAGTTTGATAAGAATGGAGTAATATCTGCTAGAAATCGTATCACTGAAGCTACTCCACTCCAGTTGGCTGCTGAAGGTGGTCACGCCCAAGTTGTTAAAGTTTTAGTAAGAGCAGGTGCATCATGTTCGGATGAAAATAAGGTAATTTTATTTGAATAATTGATGTAAGAAGATTATTTTAAAATACAATATATAACTTAAGTAAAAAATAAGTTTATTATGATGAAATATATATGAATAATTTTTCTCTAGTTAGTTTTTGAAAATCAACGTTCCTTAAATGTAATTATATTTAATTAAAGTTTTTTGAAACACTTTAAAGCTAAAAGATATTCCACATTCTAAAAATTGCTCTATTCTATAAAATAGCTACATAAATCAAAAATCACAATATATTTAAAAGATAGATTTTTTCAATTTTTATTATTTTATATTACCGAAAATTTCTTGGAAAATAAAGTAATTTAAATGCAGATGTATTAAGTTAATTTCATTTATCAAATTTAATTTCTCTAAAAAAAATTTTCTTCAAACACATTCCTATCGAACTTTTTTTTAGTAAAAGTTTTAATCGTTTTGTTCGTACTGTTTACTGATATATTTATGTTTTCAGTTATGAGCTGACGTTTCGGACTCTGCAGAGTTCAAAGCAATAGTTACAAGGTCGTGGTTGTAACTATACTAAAACTATCACTCTGAAGATGAACTCTGCAACGAATCCAAAATGTCAGATCATATCTGAAAATATGGATAAATCCGTAAACATTTCAAGCAATACGTCAATCTACGATAGCTTTAACACATGTATAATTTTAATAGCTGTCATTTTTTAATCTATACTTGTCTCCACTAAGTGATTTCAACGATATGTTTTGTTTTGACTATAATAGGATATAAATTTCAATACTAATAAGGTATGTCTTTCAATTATTGATATATCCTTAAAATTTATTTCGATATTTTTAATAGTTTTAATACAAAAAAAAATATTATCAAGTTATAGGAAACGTTTCATCGAATTAAAATTAAAAATGTATTCTTAAACATAATAACTATAATTTATTTTTTTATTCGTTTAAATTAGTTTACATTATTTAACTATTCAGGCAGGGTTTACGGCTGTCCATTTAGCTGCACAAAATGGTCATTTGTCAGTTTTGGATGTATTAAGGTCATCTCAATCACTGAGAATATCAAGTAAAAGACTTGGAATGACTGCACTTCACATGGCAGCGTATTGTGGTCAAACAGGTGACATTATTACTTAAAATTTTGACCAGCTAGATTTTACCATGACATTCAGGACAATATCTTCGGATACCTCTTTAACAGATAACTTAAAATTCTAATATAATGAAAAATTTTAGCTGTCAAGAAAAATGAAAATCTCATGCCACAAAAAATTATTGTTCTGAGTCTTCGATAATTTAAATCTAATAGAGCTGTTTATCTTATCATAAAATAACAAAAATTTATTTTATTAATTAGATACTGTACGAGAACTACTGTCTCATATTCCGGTAACTGTTAAGTCGGATCCCCCTTCTGGTGTAAGCGTTTTAGGAGTTTTGGGAAATGAATCTGGAATGACTCCATTACATTTTGCTGCGTATAGTGGTAATGAAAATGTTGTTCGTTTGTTGTTAAATTCGGCTGGAGTACAAGTTGATGCAGCAACAGTTGAATGTGTATGATTCCTACTATTGATAAATTACTTACTTCCATAACTATTCTTTTCAACTATTACAGGGATATAATGCACTACATTTAGCATGCTTTGGTGGTCACGTAACCGTAGTCGGTCTTTTGTTATCTAGAGCAGCAGACTTATTACATAGTTCTGACTTAAACGGAAAAAAATGTTTACATATTGCTGCTACATATGGTCACTATGCAATGGTAGAAGTTTTATTAGGCCAAGGAGCAGAGATTAACGCAACAGATAAGGTAGGTTCATTGAATATTATAAATTTGTTAACTCCCCAATATAATAACAATTTTTAAAACTTTAAATATCGACATTTCATAAACTTCTTTTTACTTGAAACTTAAAACTTTTTTAAAAAAAGTTTATTCAATTAACATAACTTGTTTAATAAATAAATTATGTTGCTATAAAAATACTTATGTTAATTTATATATTAGTTATATATTATTTGAAAATCTGACTTTTAAATGCCTATACGGGAAACCAAAATATAAACTTTTCTATAAAAGTTTAATCTTTTAAACTTAAATTTTAATTTAAGATTTGAAATGGTACCTAGAATACTCCAAACATGTATTAAATTAAAGCTTATGTTCTTCCTTGCCTTAATTCCAACTACTTGGGGTCGGCCACCCTTATCCTAAACTTCCACTTGACACGATCTCCCACGTCCTTTACGCTCAAATCAGCTGTCCTCAATATCGCATTCAATTACAACCCTCCATCTTTTTTTTTTGTATTCCTCTACCTCTTCTTCCTTCAACATTTATTTCTATAATTCTTCTTACGGCTTCCGATTCTTCTCTTCTCATAACATGACCAAACCATCTAATTCTATTTTGTCTCCACTTATCTACGGCTGACGTTACATCTAAATTCACTCTTATATATTCGTTCCTTATCCTATCTTCTCTAGTCACTCCAATCATCTATCTAAGCATTCTCATCTTTGCTACATTTATTCTATGATCTACTTTTTTGTCATATGTCCAACAATCTGAACCATACAACATAGCTGGTCTCATTACAGTCTTTACTGTCAGCCTCATTGGAATTCTTTTATCGCATAAGACGCTAGATGCTTCTCTCCACTTTATCCACCCACACTTAATTCTCATCCTCGTCAATACCACTACTCTTTTGCACAACTGATCCTAAATACTTAAAATTCTCCACCTATCCAATCACGTCCTCGCCTATTGTCACTTACCTCCTCATTTCACCTACCTCGTATTCTCCTTTGTCAAACTCCTATATTTTGACTTTTACATAATTTTGTTAAATCAATTAGCTGTTTTATTTTATACTTTTTTATGTTTTGTTCCTTTCGTCAGTGTTTATGAATCCCTTATTATATTTGTCTTAATACTCGAAAATATGGTTACTACGTCAAAAGAAATTAACCTATCATTTTTTTGTCATTTCAAACCCAACTAGATAATTTTTGAACCAAGTCCTTCCCTATTCTTTTAATTGAAAATTCGAAAATTTTTGGATTATATGGATTTAAATGCAAAAAATGTGGATATTCAACTGTTCATCTTCGGTCGAGTCTAGGTCACAGATCAAAAATTTTATGTGTAGGTATATCAAAAAAGAAAAGAATGTTGAAATACTTTTTTTGTTTAACTTGAAGAGGCATTGTTATATGGATGAAATTACTAGAGAAATACAAGGAGAGATGTCGTGGAATATGTTGTTTGCTGACGATATAGTATTAATATGAGAAAATAGGGTGAAAATTAAACAAACGCTAGAGGTGTGGAGATCAGCTCTTGAAGAAAAGGGTTTAAGAATAAGTAGAAGAAGGACAGAGTATATAGATTACGAGTTTGACAAAGGAAAACACGAGGTAAGTGAAATGAGGAAATCAATGACAATTAGCGGAGACGTGATAGCAGAGGTGGAGAGTTATTTAGGATCACTTGTGCAAAAGAGGGGAGGTATTGATGAGTTGAAGTGGAGAGAAGCGTCTGGCGTCTTACGCGATAAAAGAATTCCAATGAGGCTGAAAGGTAAATTCTACAAGACTGTAGTGAGACCAGCTATGTTGCATGGTTCAGATTGTTGGGAATATGACAAGAAAGTAGAGCATAGAATGAGTGTAGCAAAGATGAGCATGCTTAGATGGATGAGTGGATTGACTAAGAAAGATAGAATAAGGATAGAACAATCACATTACATTTAACAAATTGAATTTTAATTTTCAGATAAGATGGAGTATAGATGATAAGGAACGTATATATAAGAGTGAATTTAGATGTAACGTCAGCCGTAGATAAGTTGAGACAAAATAGACTTAGATGGTTTGGTCATGTTATGAGTAGAGAAGAATCGGAAGCCGTAAGAAGAATTATAGAAATAAATGTTGAAGGAAGAAGAGGTAGAGGAATACAAAAAAAAAGAGATGGAGGGTTTTAATTGAATGCGATATTGAGGACAGCTGATTTGAGCGTAAAGGACGTGGGAGATCATGTCAAGTGGAAGTTTAGGATAAGGGTGGCCGACCCCAAGTAGTTGAAATTAAGATGAGGAAGAAGAAAAAGAAGAAAATGTATAAATCAAAATATTGTCAGTTTCAAATAAGTATAAAATAATAAATCAGCGGATTGAAGGTACAACAATGGAAAATACACTATTAATATTTCTAGCAGAACTTTTCATGAGTAGCTTCGAAATAAATTTAAAAAATACCCATGAAGCTTTTCCTAAAATTTGGATATTTTTGCAGTAATAAACAAAGCTTATAATATGAAGGTCTTCACACAATATTTAAATTATTTTGACCCATCGATTAAATTCACATTCGAACAGGAAGTAAAGGGAAAATTTATAAGTCAATAGAGTTGAGGAAGAACTATATTTTAAAATTTATCGAAAAAACAAACACATTTATAGGTACATTCCGAACAATCTGAACCACAGCTAATGTTTTTTAATAGTATAGTTTATAGATTAGTGAATAGTCCAATGAATAAAATATATTTTTATAAAGAGCTGGTGGCTATAAGAGAAATATATAAATTTAATGGGTATAACGAAAACGTAATTTTAAAATTAGTTCAAACACAAAAGTAGAATAAAGAAAGGAGGGCAGCTAGTACAATCACTAGCGTGGGAGAATAAAATGTAAAGAAATTGGTCACGTTATATTAACACGATTTATTAAAATTAAATAATTAATCTCATTTAAACAATTTTAAGCAGCTAATTCTTTTTTTTATTATAATTTAATTATGTTTTTAATTGCAAAATTACTCAATTCAATCAATTTTGTGATGATTTTGTCAGCCAAAAAAAAAAAAAAAAACAATTCCTTCTAAATTAAAATAAAAAAATTAAACTATGCAAATTTCCACAAAAACTATCATATAATGATAGTTTAATTCTTTCAGATATTTCTTGCTTGTCCTTAGTGTTTCAATCATTATGTTGGGTTTTAAAATTAATAATACAATAGAAAAAAATAAAGGCTTGGAATAAGGTTACTAAAAAGTACTATGAAAATTACGCTAAATTTGTAATTTGCAATAATCAATCTTTTAATTTTAATGTATTGACTCTATGTAATCTGTTATTTATCCTAAATTTATATATTTTACTGCTGAGACAAAACAATAATCTTATAAAATACTTGTTTCGAAAGTTCTCAGTTATTAGTTAGTAAACACATTGAAATAATAAAATATTCATTATTACGTTTATTACGATAACCATGACGATTGAATATATACTTTATTATATCTTATATAATAATTATATTTTATCTTCAGTCATGTGTTAAACTTTGCCGTATGCTAACATAAAATAAGAAACGCTTTTTCATTTGGCACATCCATAGCATATGATTTGTTGAAATATAGAATGGTGGAATTGTTGTACTATCGAAAAGCATTGTATAATATTGACGCTGTTATCTAAGTAAAATGTTGGAGTTATTAGACTGCTATGATTTAAGTTCATTATTATTTATTTTATTGGCAATTTATATTGACTGTTCATATCAAATGCCAATTCATTATCCGTTTACCGAAGGAGGTTAATGTAAAAAAGAAAAATAATTGTAGTTTTTATTATTTTCTACATGAAGGGGATCAGCTTTGCCTAGTGAATATAAACATATGTTTCTGTGTATGGATCTACAGTGCGGCAACTAGATTTTTATTGTATTTTCTCTTCGTTGATGTCTGATCTCTGATGCAAGCCGGCTATAATTCACGTCCCGTTCAACATTGGCCAATCAAGAACTATCTTTGATTCCCAAACATATGAAAGAGCACTACCACCTTCTGTAGTATGATAAGTTGGGGAAATATAAGGATGTAAGACTGATCATTTTTTCTACTATTTTCTGCATGGAAACGTCTGTGTTAATAAAATTTAAATATTAAAAATAAGGAGAAAGTAAATATAAACGTAGCGAGCAGCTATCATCACAAGAGACACTAGGAGTGCTACTTATTATTTGCGCCAATGTTTATATTTCTCTGATAATAACTATTAGAGGGCGTTTTCTTGAATCATTGGAAATAACTTGAAAAAATATCTTAATCGATATTAATTAAGAAATAATATGAAAAAAATAATTATGTTAATTTTTTTGTCAAGTTACTTTTAATAAGATTAAATTTATATAAATAATCAAAAAATTTCAATTTGTTACGTAGTAGATATTGAATAGATGCCTCAGATGTTATATAATATTATATATTATGTAAATAGAATTATAAATATATTTACATATATATCATGAATTTTAGAATGGTTGGACTGCAATGCACTGTGCGGCTCGTGCTGGTTTCTTAGATGTTGTAAAACTTTTAGTAGAGTCAGGCGCTTCACCAAAATCAGAAACAAATTATGGAGCATCTCCTATATGGTTTGCCGCACAAGAAGGACATAATGATGTCTTAGAATATTTAATGACTAAAGAGCATGATACTTATGGTTTAATGGATGACAGAAGGGTATAGTCAATAACACCTAGCTTACAATTATACAGGTGGCCCACCACTCACTGACAACTTAAATAACTTTTGATCCAGTTAATATTTTTAGTTGATTTTTTTTTTAGCGTTTTAGGTAGCGTTTTCTTCTGTCTTTTTCTCAATACGTATTTCAATGTTTAATACCGTAAAATAATACATAAAAATTCAAATTTTCACAAACTTTAAAACGCTACAGAATATTTACTACTGAATATTAATAAGATATTTTTTTACTAAAATTTTTCTTAAATTCTACTCTACAAAATAGCTATCTTAGATTTTTTTTTTACATTTTATTTAAAATTTAAAAATAATTAATATTTTTAATAAAATGTAAAAAAATTAATTATTGAGATATAGCTATAGACCTAACATGTAACTATTATTTAAAAAAAAAAATTAACTAAAAATATTAACTGGATCAAAAGTTATTTAAGTTGTCAGTGAGTGGTGGACCACCCTGTATAATAAATAAGTACCTAATTTATTATTTTGATTTTAGTTTGTGTACAATTTGATGATTTGCAGTAAAAATCACAATAACAAACCTATAGAAGAATTTATTCTTGTTTCACCAGCTCCAGTAGATACAGCTGCAAAACTTTCAAACATTTTCATGAATTTATCAAATAAGGTGGGCTTATTAATCAAGTTAAGATATCAAAATCATTGAGTTTAGACTTTTTAAAATTCAATACATGCACATAGAAGATAGGTTTTCTATAATTAAAAGAAATATAGATAGGTTTTAATACTTTCTCATCATTCGTTGATGAAACAACCAGAAATTTTATTGAAGTAGAAGGGTTTATACCAAAAAAGTTCAAATTTAATATTATTAAAGTGATTTACAACTTAAAATTTCAATTTAACATTCAATTTGAACTTAAACCATTTAGTCCCTTTTGGATACACCACAGAATCTAGAAATGTCTTGTCTATTAATAATATAATATATTTAAATATTTTTAGACATTTGACGTATTTCTTTTTTTACCATAACTTTATAAATATTTTTCATTTTGATTTAAAAACGGAAAAATATTTTCATACAGGCACAAGTATTGATAATAAAAAAATGTAGCACAGTGAGATCACGGAACAGTATGGAAGTGGCATGTTGGGACAAGTATAGATGATATCTGATAGTGATTAAAATCACTATCATATGAAACGCTTCGATGCAAATTTGTAGATAGTATTTAATTTTAAGAAATTGGTAGATTATTTCAAAAGCAACAATAACTGTTATTCTCTTAATTATATCCCGATTAGTTAATTTATTTATAATTATAATATATGAATACATAATGATTATAGTAATTAAATTCAGTATGAAATTAATATTAATAATTTAATATTGTAATTTTTACGGAGATATTATAAAAATAATAAAGTAGCTGTATATTTCTTTACTTTTAACGCGTATAAAAATTTAAAGGGCTTGATGCAATACTTTTGAATAAAAAATGTTTGTTACTTATAACAAAGTTATAAGTTTTATACAGTGGACTATAAGGAGCTTTCATCAGAAAAAAAATTTACTTCTCTAAATCAACTTTTTCTATCACTTCTAAGTTTTGGTATTATTACTTATTATTAAAAAATAAGTAATTACATTTAAAAAAATAATTAAAAACAAAAAAAAATATTTTTAATTAATACTAATTTTGATTTTTAATTTGTTAAAAATAAGGAAAATGACATATATAACCTATTTTTTTAATCCTTAAAAGTTGATTTTTGTGAAAATTAATAATAAAAAAAATTGAATATGTTGCCATAACATTTTTAGCTTAATTGCATGTTTGAAATTGACATCATTAAATAGAAAATATTATGAGAATTAAAAAATTGTATTGTTAAGATTAATATGCAGTCATGAAGTTTTATAATTATTATTAATAGTAAATTTATTAGAAGAGCTCAATATTTTTTAGATAACTTAAATCGAAATACTAGTAATCATTTCCTAGTAACTTTTGGTGTTTAAAAAGATTCTACAATTGAAATATAAACTGAATTAATTTTAATGATTTATTTTAACTACAATAACTAATCAAAAAAAAGTTGTTAAAAAGATCTAAAAATCCAATTTTAATTCAGGAGAAACTATTATTTTTTTTAGAAATGACTTTTATAGCAACATATTACCAAAAAATTTAGAATATTATAGTCTAGTAGTAGCACACACAAGTAGAATAAAAAAATGATTAAATTACAAAGTACAATGATTTCATTTTTTAATTGAAACCAATCATATCGAACTTGATTCGTCAATAAATACTTTGAAAATATGAGAAATGAATGATTTTAATTGTCTGTATGGAGAACATGGGATAAGTAACTGTTTAATTGATAAATTATAATTTTTTTTATATTAATATCTTCAACTAGATACGAATTGTAATCATTTGATGTATCGTTGAAAAAATTAGGTCCAGTTAAAACAAAGAAAATAAATGATAGTCACAAAAAAATACCGTCTCAGTTTTGCATCGAAGCAAAAACGTAAAATTCTTTATTGAAGTTATTGAATCTAAATGAGATAAAAACTAAAGGAGTTTAAAATTTATTCTAACTTTAAAAGAATTATGAAAAAAATGCAAAAAATTCTATGCCATACCCCAAGCACGTTAGACACAAGTGTTACCGACTCTACAACCGTACGTCACTTGAGTCGACTGAAAAAAATAGCAATTTAAGTTAATTCAAATTTCAAAATTATTTTTCTCGACTTAAAAAAAGCAAAAAAAATTAAATAAGTTTAACTTTCTATGCTATATTAATTTAATTTATATAATATTTATGAAAATCAATGTACTTCTCTTGTCAGGTATTGTAAAATAAAATAAAATACAAAACCCTAAATTTTAACACAAAAATATTATATTTTTAAATACGGTAGTCATTTTCACCACGATGACAAATCCGGAGGTCAAATTTTTTGTTCAAATTAAAGTATATTACAGAAGCCTTAATTTAAGGTATATATAAAAGTTTTCATTTATATATAACTTTTCCGAACAATTTCAATAGTTACCATTTTGAAACCCTTCCTGTGGGCAGGTAAAGGGTCAAATATTCGTAAAAATATATCAAATGATAGGTTAATACCTAAGATATCTATAAATATACATATATATACAGGGTGATTTTTTTATCATAACCCACTCAATTACTTACAGTTAAATAATAATTTAAAAAAATTTTTTTATTGCTATCTTTAGTTACACATTATTCTTGAATTATTAACTATGTAATACTTTTTAAGTTCATCCCTTATGCCTGGTAAGGGCGTAAACTTTGTTTTTTTAAATGGTAACACATATTTTGAATTTAATAAAATGTTTGAGTTCTTAATTTAATAACAAATGTCATTGAATTTTTAATATAACTTTATTCGTTTATTAGATATAAACATTTAAAGTTTCAAATTTTTGAGTTAATATATAGGTATAATATACAAGGGATTACAAATACAGGTAGATAATTGGTTTTTTATGATATTGCTATCACAGTCACGGATTGTTTATTATCAATTATGACTATCAATAGATATACATTCTGTATTGTCAGTTATTGTATTTATAAACTCACAACAATGTGCCTTACTACCATTGATAATAACAATGCTTTGTACCTGTTAATATCGATGTCATAAAAAACCAATTAGCTACCTGTTTTTGTAATTCCTTGTGTATTATACCTATATATTAACTCAAAAATTTGAAACTTTAAATGTTTATATCTAATAAACAAATTATGTTTCATTTAAAATTCAAATGCCATTTATTATTGAATTAAAAACACAAACATTTTATTAAATTAAAAATATGTGTTACCATTCAAAAATCAAAGTTGACACCCTTACCAGGCATAAGGGATGAACTTAAAAATTATTACATAGTTAATAATTCAAGAATAATGTGTAACTAAAGATAGTAATAAAAAAAAATTTTTTAATTTATATTATTCTATAAGTAATTGAGTGGGTTATGATAAAAAAATCATCCTGTATATATATTTTTATAGATACCTTAGTTATTAACTTATCATTTGATATACTTTTGTGAACATTTGACAATTTACCAACCCACAGGAAGAGTTTCTAAATGGTAACTTTTTCACAAAAAATTTAACTTTTGAAAAAGTTCCGAAAAGACTGATACTTTTATATACATCTTAAATTAAATCTTATTTAATATATTTTAATTTGAAAAAAAATTGACCTCTGGACTTGTTTTCATGGTGAAAATGAATACCGTATTCAAAAATATGCTATTTGAAAAAATTCTTGATATTATATTTAACATTTTTAACATTATATTGCTATAATTTTTTAAAAAATGCATGAATCAATTCTATACTTTAATGATAAATACTTTATATATATCTCTTTCATTCGACATACTTACTTTTAAATCGAACCATTTCCTTTAAAATATTATTTTTTGAAAAATTTAGCATAAAAACCTTTAATTTTTATACAAGTGTACCATTAAAGTAACAAAATATTCAACTACTTTATTATTTCTTTGTAAAAATTACAATATTAAATTATTGAACATCAATTTCATACTTATAAATCAATGAACTTTTAAACAGAATATAATTAAGGAAATAGAAGATCATGTAGCTTTTGGAATAATCCACCATTTTTTTTAAATTAAACATTATCTACAGATTTGCATCAAAGCGTTTTTTATGATATTGATTTTAATTACTGTCAGATATCCTTATACTTGACCCAACAATGCCACATCCTCACTGTACCGCGACTCCACTTTGCAGGGTTTTTTGAAATATATTTTTATTTTTTTATTATTAAATAAAAGGAAACCATGTGTGCGACAGTAAGGTAAAGTTTAAAAGGTATGAAAGGCTAGGAAGCAGAAATAAAAGTCTATAGATTTGCGAAAATAAGAGAAAAAAGGTCTTAAGATTAACATAAACAAAGCCAAAAGAAAGGAATAATAGTATTTCGGTGACCATATTTAAAGGCAAGGACTCATATAGAAATATATGAAAAATTGAGAAATGATAAAAGACAATAAAATAAAAAGAGTAACGAAAATTTGTTTTTGTTTGGATAGTCAATGATGGAGCCAATTTTTTGTATAAGTCAACTAATAGAAAAGTATTAAAAAAAAAGAAAAATCTGTATATAACATAAATGGATTTTATTTTAAAGTGGGTGTTAATTAGAAAAAGAGTCCCAAAAGGTACATTAATATAATAGTAGATATGTATGATGGCACTTGTACCGGAGTAAAAAGCGTAAGACGAGTAACAGAAAGCTTTAGGTTAAAAGTAGGAGTGTACCAAGGTTCTGCAGGTTATGTAATTACTAGACAAATCAAAAGGAGATGTGTCGTTGTGCATATTGTTCACAGACTATATATAGTGTTAATAGGAGAAAATAGGGAGGAAATCAATCTAAGACTCGAGGTGTGGAGATCAACTTTTGAAGAAAAGGTTTTAAAAATAAGTAGGAGTAATACAAAGTATATAGAAAACGAGTTTAACAAAGGAGATCACGAGGTAGGTGACATGAGGAAATCAATGACAATAAGCAAAGACGTGATAGCAGACGTATAAAGTTTTATGTATTTAGGATCATTTGTGCAAAAGAGCAGGGGTATTGACGAGAATGTAAGACACCGAATTAAGTGCGGGTGATTAAAGCATCTGGTGTTATATACAAAAAATAATTCCAATGAGGCTTAAAGGTAAATTCTACAAGACTGTAATAAGACCAGCTATGTTATATGGTTCAGATTGTTGGGCATATGACAAGAAAGTAGAGCAGAGAATGAGTGTAGCAAAGATGAGAATGCTTAGATAGATGATTGGAGTGACTAGAGAAGATAGGATTAGGAACAAATATATAAGAATGAATTTAGGTATAACGTCAGCCGTAGATAAGTTGAGATAAAATAGACTTAGAAAGTTTGGTCATGTTATGAGAAGAGAAGAATCGGAAGCCGTAAGAAGGTTATAGAAATAAATGTTGAAGGAAGAAGAGTTAGAGGAATACAAAAAAAAGAGATGGAGGGTTGTAATTGAATGCGATATTGAGGACAGCTGATTTGAGCGTAAAGGACGTGGGAGATCGTGTCAAGTGGAAGTTTAGGATAAGGGTGGCCGACCCCAAGTAGTTGGAATTAAGGTGAGGAAGAAGAAGATGTATAAGTCAAAATATTATCAGTTTCAAATAAGTATAAAATAATAAATCACTATCAATAGATATAATTTATGTATTGCCAGTTAGTGTGTTTATAAACTCACAACAAAGTGTCTTATTTACAATGATAATAAAAGCTATATACCTGCGAATATCGTCATAATAACCCAACCTGTATTTATAATCCCTTATGTATTATACATGTATATTAACTCAAAAAAATTTGAATCTTTAAATGTGTATATCTAATAATAAACAAGAAAATTTGTTTATATATATATACTTTATTATATATATATACTTTATTAGCTTATTAGATATAAACATTTAAAGTTTTAAAATTTTGAGTTAATATACATGTATAATACACATAGGATTGTAAATACAGGTAGTTAATTGGATTTTTATGACATTGCTGTCTCAGTCACGGATTTTTTATTATCGATTATGATTATCAATAGATATACTTTCTATATTGTCAGTTAGTGTATTTATAAACTCATAACAATGTGCCTTACTACAATTGATAATAACAATGCTGTGTACCTGCTAATATCGATGTTATAAAAAACCAATTAGCTACCTATATTTGTAATCCCTTGTGTATTATACCTGTATATTAATTCAAAAATTTGAAACTTTAAATGATTATATCTAATAAACGAATTAAGTTATATTAAAAATTCAAATGCCATTTACTATTAAATTAAAAACTCAAACATTTTATTAAATTAAAAATATGTGTTACCATTTAAAAAAACAAAGTTGACCCCCTTCCAAGGCATAAGGGATGAACTTAAAAAGTATTACATAGTTAAAAATTCAAGAATAATGTGTAACTAAAGATAATGAAAAAAAAAAATGTTTAAATTATTATTATTTTGCAAGTAATTGAGTGGGTTATGATAAAAAAATCACTCTGTATATATATATAAAATAACCAAAAATCAAAAATAAAACTATACAGGAATAATGTTGCCGTCGTGTGGTAAGCGGGATGGGGTGAATGCGTTACGACAGTTTAGTCTCAAGGCGATAGACGACTGGATAACACGTAGCGCGTTGAGAGTTATAAAAATACATATAGGTGAAATTAATATAAGCATATTAAAAAAAAAAAACACATTTATAAAGTTAATATATTTAAATATATTTCCATAAAAAAGGCACATAACAAACACAGATATGTGGAAAGAAACATTATCAAATAACAGTTGCCTTAAAGCCTGTGATAAAACTAATACAACATGATCAAAATGAAATACATTTATGTAAATTTGAAGTGTAAATAGGAAACTAAATGTAGACTAAAAAACAATAGAGGGATCACCTTAGTATACAGAGCAAGTTATTTATTATAAAACACATAATTACTAACAATAAAAATTTTTTGGTAACCATTAGTTACATACTAGTCAACTTTATTTTTTCATATGGTATCGCATATTTTGAATTCAATAAAATTGTTAAGGTTTATTTTTACAGTAAATTACATTTGAATAACTTCATTCGCTTATTAACAATAAAACTTTAAAGTTTCAAATTTTTGAGTTAATATATATTTATAATACATAATGGATTACAAATACAATACAGAAATTAGTTAAATGTTTTTTTATTGAGTCGCTATTTCAGATACACAGCTTTTTTTTTTAACTATAACTTTATCAACAGATATGCTTAAAGTATGATATTTAGGCACATTATCGTCAGATAACATTTATAAATAAACCAACTGGCAATACTGGAATATATAACGAATGGTACTCAAAAAAATAGATATATATACAAAATTATTATTATTCCGTGAGTAATTGAGTGTGTATGATAAAATAATCACTCTGTATATATCTATCTGTAGAAAGTAATTTTTGGTTATTATATAACTTATTATTAAAATTAGGAAAAAGAGAGAGCAAAAGACTTAATATCTGCAGGAAAACAATGCGAAGCAATGGCAACTGAGCTATTAGCTTTAGCTGCAGGTCAAGATTCAGCCGGTCGAATACTAACAGCTTCTGATCGTCGTAACACTGAATTTTTAGATATTCTTATTGAAAACGAACAAAAAGAAGTTATTGCTCATACTGTTGTTCAGAGGTATTTGCAGGTTAGTTATTTAAATAATATATTTATAAATATATTAAGGTGACAAAAAAAAAAAAATGATTAATTAAAAAATCACATAGTTAAAAAAAATTGATATACTGAAATATTTAATGATGAGTAATTACACATTACATGACTGATATTGAGATATATAACAATGTTATAAAATCATAGATTCATTGACAATGATCAGATAAGAAAATGACTAGTGGATAACAATTTTTAAATCAGTACTTAAGAAGAAATTTACATTTTTTATACCTAGATGGAAGGAAGATAGCGCACAAGAAATTATCATTCCATATCATTAATATAAGCAACTGTTTGTTCATCATCTGTTTTCTTTTTTCTAATAAAATACGTAACATATCATTCTGAGCAATGGGTTCAAATTCATTCCTAAACTTTTTCTCTAATTCATTCCAGGGTAATTTCAATGACTCAATATTATCATAAAAAGTTAAAGCTGAGCCTTGCAAAAATGCAACTAAATATTGTGGTTTATCATTGTCTGACCAATTATTAATTAACGCTGCTCTATTAAATGTTTTTAAGAATGAGTCTACGCGTTCATTTATTCCACCCGAAAATGTAGTTGGCTTAAAAAATAAATTTTTATTCATGTTGAAATTATTAGTTACTTTGGGTGAATTTAAATTTTGATCAATAATATTTTTGTTGTTAGTTTGCGTTAATGTTTTAGGTAGAAAAAACCAAAATAGCCTAATTTTTAATTCTGATACAGTGCCTGTAGTAGATAACTTTCTTGTTTCAAGTTCTTTAATAAGATCGGGTCTTTTTAAACTATTAATCCATTCTAATGTTTTTTTGTATTCGTCTGGAATACCTTGTATCTCAATTAATTCTACTTCCTCTGACATAACTCTAAATATTCACTTATACAATTTTATTCTCAAATTCTGTATTATTCAAATAAATTTATTCTCAATTCGTAATTTTTCTTTTTTATTTCAAAATGTTAATTTAAATAATTTTAAGTTACGCGCAATTTTCAATAAAAATTTCAATTTTTATATAATAAGCCTATTTAAATTTTTTAGATTTAAACGACTTTTAATGTAAGCGCAATATGATTTTCAATCAATAATATAATCAATTTTTTCGTTCAATAATACAATTCCCAATAATAATTTCAATTTTTTACTTCTTTTGAGATATAATTTTCAATTTAATTTATGCTCAATATAATTTTCAATAAATAAATAATTCCAATAAGCGCGATTTTATTTTTAATAATTTCTATTCAAACAAATAAGCGCAATTTACTTTTTTTTTTAATTCAATTTAATTTCAACATACGCAATTTTAATTTTCAATAAATAAATAATTTAAATTTTCATATAATAAGCATGATTTTATTCTTAAAATTTGATTTAATTAAATTTTTTTAATTGATAAAGAAATAATTCTCAACCAATTTTTCATATAAACAATGTAAAAATTGTAATCCAAAAGTTTTTTTCTGAGTAATTTTCAAAAAACCCTTAGTAAAATTAACTAAGCCTGTTGTTGGGCGCCACTTTGTTATAATTCAAATAAAATAAACAATAGTAGTTAAGTAAAAATAATGAAAATAAGCGAAGGGTGATGGGCTTAGTGAGAACCTGATGTTGTGGTTCTATCGGGGTCGTATGGTTCGAGGGTTTAGAACGACAAAGACAAGTAGATATAAAAATATATATTAAGTTCCTCTTATAGAGGTAGAATAAACTTTTGTCTGGTTAGTTTCTAATGTCCTAACTAAGAGGCAACGAAACGGCGAAGCCAGTTCACGAATACCTCGGCAACGAGACGGCAGAGCCAGTCCACGAATACCAGAGCCTAATTTATACAGTAGAAATCACGCTAGGTTTTTTAAAACATCTTTAAGGCAACGAAACGGCAGAGCCAGTTCACGAATACCATATAACGTGATTATGTATAATTTCTTTAACCAACCAGTCAAAATTGACACTTTAAGATATTAATTTAATAAATGATCTATTGCTTTGTCATCCTTTACTCAAACTATTAACTTTAAATAATTGGGATAACATAAAATTACTTACTTCTTTTATTCTTGTAAATTGCTTGTAAAATGATTTGATAATTATCTCGATATATTTATATATGTTTAAAAGTATTTAATTAGCACTTCGTCAAAAGATAAATAATTAAAGCAAGTTCTTTTCATATATAAATAAAACGCATAAAAGTCAGCCGACAACAACACAGGGCTGTGACTGATAATTGTTTCTTTTTATTCTTATTTTAATTCGGAGAAAATGAACTCTTTTGGTCGCTGCCACTTCTTCTTTTTTTTCGTCTCTCTGGAGTCTTTCCCTGACTCGCGGACTGAAAGGATTTCAGTGTTTTTTATAGTAAAATGATATTACCCTTAATCCAGGGATATTGTTGTCAGCGCTTTTAGTGATCTTTTTAGTTTATTGTATTAATTATGCATTACAGGATTATTATATTCAGATAACATATTTAACAATTGATAAATTGACATATATATATAAATAATAAGAAATTGTGTTGAACATCGTATTTGTTATGACAGATAAATTATTTGATTGTTTACAAGTTATTTAAAATACAGATTATACATTTTTCATTAATAATTAGAAGATGCGTCATGCAATGCATTGAGCATATTACTACAAAATGTTTAATGATAAAAGTTGTTACACACACTGTACCTCTTCTCTAGTTATAAAATTCCTATAAATTCCAAATTACTAGTTTAAAATTTGTTATCCACCAATCATTTTAGCTTCGATGCGAAGCTGAGAAGGTATTGGTTTTACTATAATGTGTTTTTTTTTTTATTTTGTGTCTGTTACCACTTATTCTCAGCGCTCACCGAACAGATTTCATTCAGCGATACGTTAAAAGATCACAAATCGTATCTAATTGAAGACATTACCCTCAAAAATTGAAAAAATTCCCTTGTTCCCCGTAAATGGGCGAAATCTCCAAAAAAAATTACAAATTTAAAAATCACTAATTTTCGAAATTTATTTTACTTAAAACTGCCATTACTTTTTCAAAAATGAACAAATCAATATAAAATTTTTATTTATAGATGCTTAATGTCTTTACCTATCATTTGGTATATTTTTTTTATAAATTTAACCCTTTACCTGCCTACAGGAGGGGATTTAAAATGATAATTTTTTCAACTTAAATTTTGAAAGTGTACCGAAAATTTTGACCTATTATATATATCTTAGATTAAAGCTAATGTAATGTACTTTATTATGGAAAAAAAAATTTCGGACTTTATTTTATCTTGACTACCAAATGCTATTTTTGTGTGAAAATTCTCGATTCTATTTTTAATTTTATAATGCTATAGCTTATTGAAAAGTGCATGGATCAAAACAATTTTTTTGTAAGAAATATTATGTATATCCCTTTTTTATTCGACATACTTTATCTTAATTAGGATATAAATAAGGAAATATCAGATCATGTAGCTTTTGGAATAATCTACAAATTTTTTAAAATTAAACACTATCTAAAGATTTGCATCAAAGCGTTTTTTTTTATAAAGATTTTAATCACTATCAGATATCATTATACTTGATCCAACTATGCCACGTCACCACTGTGCCGTGACCCATCTGTGCTAGGTTTTTTTTTAATTAGATAATTTTTATTTAATAAGCTTATTTAATATATTTGACACCATAAAGGTATAAGTAATGAATTAAAAATAGTGATTATTGATTAGTAAATCAAGAAGTACATGAAACTAAAAAATTAAAATAACTTTCTTAAGTTAATAATTAACTTAAGAAAGTTATTTAATAATAATAATTATTATTATTTTAAAAGAAATCGAGTGATATATATTAAAAGATCATCATGAATTATTCACATTACACATAAATATAATATTACAATTATCAACGTTTATAAAAACTAATAATTGTTATAACGATTATAACTTATTGTTCATTGAGAAAACAGTACAACAAAGAACGAGTTACATTGTTTGTTTAACAAAATACAGTTTTATTTAAGCGTCGAAATAATTTATTATTTCACAATGACATGAACAACGATTTTCAACGCGACCATTAGATAGTGTAATAGCAACTTCTTCTACTTCACCAGCTTTTACAGTCCATTTAGGACCTTCGCTGCCTCAACTACAACTCTCCATCTATTTCTGTCTTCGCTATCTTCAATTCTTATTTCTTCTGAATTTCCGTGAGATCCGTTTTCACCCTGTCCGCCCATCTCTGTCTTGGTCGACCTGGGTCTTTTACCGTTTAGTCTTCCAGTAAACAGTTTTTTTGCCATTCCTTCCGACCTCCAAATATGACCCGACCATTTTAACCTTTTACTTTTTAGAAACGAACTAATAATGGGCGTGTTAAACATTTGGTACAATTCTTGGTTAGTTTTTCTTCTATATTCACCACTTTCCATTACAGGACCACAGATTCGACGTAGTACTTAACTTTCAAAAATTTTATCTTCTCTTCATCTCCCTTAGTCACTTACTAGGTTTCACATTCATACGTCAAGACCGGTCGAAAAAAGTTAGAGTATAGATATGCTTTAGACTTTCTAAACAGTAGTTTGGATTTAAATAATTTCGCAAGTGCATCATATCCCATGTTTCCTGATTCAATTTAATTTCATTGTGCATATTGTATAATACCAACAAGTACAAATAATGTAAAATAATTGTTTTTAAATTTTATTCTATCGTTAACAAAGATATTCTATTTAGAGGAGTATTATAAGATGTTTTTTGAGGTGATACAGAAGATGTTTCACAAAAATGTGAAAAATATTGACATACATGGAAGCTGTGGGCAAAAAAATGATAATTTAATATTTGTACATAGAAAAAATGTCGAGAATGTGATGTCTTTTTACTAAAGGAGTAAGGTGTAAGTCATAATTTTTATTTTGAAGTGTATCCGTGATTACTGACAAGATATTTTTATAAGATACATAACGAGAAAACTTTTTATA